TTATTTACAAGCTAACAGAATGCTCAGTACACAGCAACTGCAAAATAATATCTTATTTGATTGAATAATCTATATAGTAGTTATAAGTATCAGAATGCACAATATAGCAAATAATGTATTGACAAAGAAGATAATTTATTAGATATTATAAAAAATGACTTAATACATACGTTTCTATATTAATATAATATATGTTCTAACAATATATGAATAGAAATTCAATCGGACAAAAGCCTTAATAGTAAAAGAGTATATGAAAGCAAATATAAAACGATTAACATGAAAAATATGAGAGAAATCTTTTAAATACTGAGAATCAATATTAATCAATATTATTACACTAACATAATATTTGAAATTGCACAAATTATTTATCTCTTAATATATAGAATTTAAACTTACATACTATGTCAATATATAAGACTTTGATATCCAAAACTAAAAATTATGACAAAAATAAAAAAGTACGTCATAAGACAATTGAAATAAAAATTAAGATGTCATTGTTTTATTTTTACTTTTCATAGAATTTCTAAACCATGTTATTTCGCTCGAATTCATATAAATGACCCTAAATCAAAGCATTACTCAATTGCAAAAATCAAAAATAATAAAGTGAACTAACAATACCTTCAGATAACTTTGCTTCTGTCTACAGTAATACCATAATTTATGGCCAATACTCCCTAAAAATTTATAACAGATAATGTGGAACAATGATATATTTTATAAGAATAACTGACTTATTCTTTTTTTTTTACGTGGATTCATGCAATAAATCTGAATCCCATACAAACCGGAGAAGAATAACAAAATGAATCATATTATTATCCAAAAATAAAAAGGCTACTATACGTACCATATTATGAAATACCATAAGCATATTTTATGGAATATGAAGTTTGGGTCCTCTCTGTCTATATTTTATGAAATACCGTAAGCATATTAACTATTTGTAAACTACAAAAAGGGAAATAATTAAACATATTTGTGGAAGAATATAATTTTCAAATTAATAAGAAAATAAGTCTAACTATACAACAAAAACGATGGAGACCCAAAAAGGAATTTGACTCAAAGTAGGATCAACTTTGTAGGCTGTGTAGTTTAAAAGGAAAAGAAATTCAGCCTCAGATGATTTACAATTATATCCTTAAATTCTATAAATATTTAAGGTTATAAAAGTCGATCAATATTTTGAGGATATTTTAGTCGTTTAACATTTAACATAAATTATTCGTATTTTTATAATAATATAGATAGATAGATTAGTTTTTAATGAGTATCTTTTGATTGTAGCCTTTTAATTTAGTAAATCCTGAAAAATCCTCATAATTCCTTACTTACCTAGACAAACCCCAATCTTTCTAAAAGATTTTTCTTTTTCTCTCTTTGAAATCAACTTTCTTTCTACACCGATTCTACAAGTTCTTTTCTTCTAAAGTTCATAATTTTCTCTAACAATGGTGAAGAAAGAAATTAATTTTTTATCGATTTGAATTTTGCCATGGCCGGAGTTTGGAGCTTTTCGAGGCTTTTCCCTTTTCTTGTTGGTGTTCCGATGGCGGGCTAGAAGTAGATGCATATTAATTATTTGGTTGGATTGTTCGAATTGAAATTGTCAATCAATAAATTTTGAAGGTGTTGGACTCTCCACCATTGACAATCATTAAAATGCTTCGAAGCTTTAAATTCGAATTCAGATTTTCAAAGATTATTTTTTGTTTGGATTGGGTGTTAATGCAAACGATTAGGAATATTCTATGGAGTTTATATCTCGATTTTGAGGGTATTTAGTGAAGATTATATTAGATTTGGATGGATCTTCGGATTAAAATTCGAAGAAGAAGCAGAAGAACACACCACATACAAAATGTATACAAATTATATACAAAAGACATATTGTATAAAATTTATATGAAAATTATATTTAAGTTGTATGATATTGTAGTTGTATTTAATTGGGTAAGAATGATGTATGAAAGTTGTAAATAAGTTATATACTGTATAATTAGTTGTATGAAATTTATTTTTAGTATGTATGTTGTTGTAGATATATCAAATTTGGTATTAAATTTGTGTGAAATTTATTTTTAGTATGTATGTTGTTGTAGATATATCAAATTTGGTATTAAATTTGTGTGAAATTTATTTTTAATTTGTACGTTGTTGTACCGTGCATTATTTTTTTCTTAAAATAGATAATTGTGGCAAAGAGATAGAAGAGTTGCGCTAATTATGGCTTAAAATAAGTAGCAAACAACTGGAAGAAGTCTTATTTAGATGGAAGGACAATTTGGACTCCGTCCCTTCAGTTACATCCTTTTCCAATAAAAGAATCCCCTAATTTAAGGCACTAATAATGGATTGTATATAAATTTTAAGAAAAACTTATTTAGGACGGGTAATATACAAAACTTGAATAATTTTAGTAAATAAGTTTCAAATATTGTATAAGAAGGAAAAAATCTCTTTCAAATTCTAACACCCACAAAATGGGATATATGGACTTTTGGCCCAAAAACTCAAGCGCAAAGTGCACAAACGTGGAAATGACACAGGTAGCGACCTTTAAATATGCTGTTTAAAATATATTCACAGTTTACAATGTATTTAAAGATTAGCCAATTTGCTCAAATTTCAGGACACGATATCCTAAAGTTTAAACCTTAAAGTTCAAACTTCAGGACATTGTGTCCTAAAGTTCGAAAATTATGTATAGGAATTTAAATCTTATGTCCTGAATTTTAAATTAGCAATTCAGGAGTGTCCAAAATTTTAAATTAGCAGCTCAAAAATTTAAAACACTAAGTCCTGAATTTTAAATTAGCAGCTCAAAAATTCAGGATACTTAGTTCTTAAGTTTGGGTGAATTGACAAATTTTTAAATACATTGTAAATTGTAAATATATTTTAAACAACATACTTAAAAGTAGCTTTTGCTGTCATTTTAAGACTCCTATTTAAAGAAGTAGAATTAACTTAAATAGCGCCCATTCAACCGCTTCAAATTAAAAATAGTCATCAGATGTATAATACATGTATAATTGATGTGTATAATCATGTATAATTCATATACACCGATTAAAAAAAGTAAACCGTAAATTCGATAGGTTAGTTGTGTAAATATTCCTTTAAAGAGTATCTAAAGTTTACAACATATTTAAAGTTTAAGCGCCTAATAATCAAGCTTCAGATCATCGGTTTTAAAGTTTCAATTGCGTGTCTGCATTTAGAACCCAAGGTTTGAAGTTTGAATGCAAGGATGTTAAAAACCCATGACTTCTAGACTTCCATTTGAAGATAATAGTAGTTCACTTACTTTCTTATTATTTTGCTTAACAATATGAAATAATCGACGAGTCAATGAGAGCATATGAAAAACAAAAGAATTTATATTTTATTGAATTTAAAAAAATCTAATTACAAATCTATTTGATAAAATAAAATATCGTTGTTGATAATAGAAATGAAAAATGTTAAAACAACACCGCCTACCCTTGTTGCTAACTCCATTCACATATGATTTTTATTACTTGCGTTGTTTCGCTTTAAATAACATTACAATTATTCCGTTTTTCTTTTTTACTACAACATTTTCATTTGGTATTAAATATTTGTACTTATAAAAAAGTTGTAATATACAATACTTTATATTTAATTTTTAGTATTCTAAACTGTATCTACAAAAATTAAGTAATTAATGTTTGAGTAACAGTATAACTTATAAAGTAGGGGCCAAAAGTACAAAAGTTTAATGGTATACACAAGCAATTACAGCCACACAAAAAGGAGGAGAACATGGAGAAAAATATAATAAAAGAAGAAAAAGCGAACACAGAGATAAACTATGTTGGCAAAAAAAAAAATGTTAACTTTTGGTACGTGGAACGAAAAAAAAAAAACTTTTGAGACGTGGAAACTTGTTAATATTTGAAAGGGACGAAGTAGATAATATTTTGCGATAATATTTCAAACAAAATAACACATATGAATACTTTTTTTTTCCACCTAAAGCTGACGGTAAAATTTATTCTGACATTAATCTAATAGAAATCAACTTAAAACTTATCATTCCTGCTTTAATTTTGAATTTAATTTTAAAAGTTACAACTTAAAGGGAGAATATAAACAATTTAAATATAGTTAATTGATAAAAATATATACATAAGAATCATATATTGTATTTATTAATTTAGTGTAAATATTTGATTAAAAAAATTTCGGGTATATAATCTGTCTCTAAAAAAAAGTTTCATTTAAATCGTGAGGTCTCACGTTTAATTTTCAGCAGAGACAAAAAAAACTAAGTGATTCTTCCCAAGCGTTGGTGAATAGAATTATTTGGTACATGTTATTGATGAAAGTTAACAGGTATCCTATAAAATTAATTGAAGTATGCGCAAGTTGAGTCGGACACCATAATTTTTAGAAGAAAAAGGAAAAGAAATGTCTTCTTTCATCAAGATTTTCTAGTACACTTTTCTTTGTAACTTTTGACTTCTAATATATATCTGTTTGAAAACTTGAAACTTTACTTTTCCTCGCAAACTTTTAGCTACACAATTTATTCTCAGCGAAAAAAATCAATTAAATACAAGTTAAAAGATAGAATTAGAAAAGGCAATGCAACATTAGGCTCTTTAAATAAAAGAGTCAAATGACGTAGAGACAAAACTAACCATAGATTGTTCCCATATATTGATCAATTAATCAATTTGTTCACGTTTTTTTAGGAAAAAAAAAGAAAATAATGTTCACGTTCATTGTGTAGCTTGTAGCCGTAACTTGCAAAAGCTATAACTTATACGCCCGCCATTGATATTCTCTATATTCATTTCTCTCTCCTTATAAGTTATAAAAATAAGAAAAATCTCCGATATTTGTCCCGGTTCCTTTTAAATTCTTTATCAGGTAAACTCAAATTTCGATTTTTTCTTTAATTTTATGAGATTTGCTTTATTTTTTACCTTCAGTTTACGCTTAATTGCTCAAAGTTTGAAACTTTAATGTTTTTTTTTCATTTGATTTTATGCATGGCAATTGGGTTATTGCCACAGTTCAAGATTCCATGTGGGTTCATCTTTGCTCGTTCTTTTAAGAAGTAATTAGTGATATTGTTTAAGAAATTTTTGTTTTTGTGTATACCCACTTTGTAATTAAGTGAAATTTGTGGGCTTACTGGGGTATGAGTAATTGATTAAAAAGATGGAATTTTTAGATGACTTACTGTTGGTCAAATGTTAGTATGAAATAAGATTTTAGTATAAGTGAATTATAGAAGATTTAAAGCTAAAAATAGTGGATTATTTATTGTTCATCAGCAGCAATGGGAGTTTATTGACTGAGTTGAGATCTTCTTCACTTTTATTTTATATGATCCATGTAAAGGAGGAAATACCTAAATTCTGCACAATTGTTGGCTATATTTGACAAGCAATTTTGAATTCCAATTAATTTCGTTATCTGATGAAATAATGTCCTCCTTTCTAGTGTCTCCAATTTTGAAGTAGTTGAGAGTAACTTGTTCCTTTTTCAAGTAGTGCAATTTTTGAATATCTTGTAGAATTTTTATCTCCATAAAGAATACTATGAAGTAGATTTTTGGAGGATTATGCTCCAAAGTGGGATGCAATGAGAAGGAAAAAGCTAAGCAGAGAAATTTATTATACTTACTTTATAAATCGGTAAGTCTTGTACAACTTTGTCTTCTTGGTCTTTTGTACCAATCTCTTTGGACAACAAATAATTCAATAGAGCCGAAGTATGTAGACAAGATTCTACCAGCAGTCTGACGTGTGACAATTGTAATCAGTTAGCTGGTTAAATATTTTGAATTAGTGGTTTTTGATATATATGGTATCTGGTTGATGGATATTTTTTCAAAGTATCATTTCATTCTGATAGTAACCCTCTGGTGAATGTCCAGTATTTTTAGGTATCTCTCATTGGAACCAGAGGTATTGGATTGTTGATAAGGATTCCGGGTGTAGAAGCTGTTCCTTGCCTCAACATCAGGAATGATGGCCACTTCTGAGGCAGTTCTTCAAGTTATAGGTGGTTCACAGCCTTGTCTTTTTGGATCTGATCATTCTTTCAGGAAATTGGGATCATCTCGTACCTGTAGATCCTTCATAAGATACAGAAGGAAGAGGGTTTCAAAGTATGTGAATTTTCTCAACTGTTCAAACACATCATATCGTGCTATTAGGGCCGATCACTTTCTGAACACCAGACAACCTGTGCACGGGAATATTGCTCAGTCCTATTTAAGATCTATGAACTGCAAATGCCAGCGAGCTGACAGTGTGAGTAGTACTGCATCGGAAAATGGAACCGGGACATGGTTTGTTGACAATGACCAGAGCTTCGATGCAGTTCATGGTAATACACCAAGTGTTCTGCAGTTTGAGACAGTAGAAGAGCTTAAAGTAGGAGAGGACTTTCAATCCAATGGGAGCTTACCTCCAAATGGCTCAGTGCAAGATGCCTTGAACAGAATAGCTGAAAACTCCATTGAGGATGAAGCGTGGGAACTACTACGGGAGTCTATGGTTTATTATTGTGGTAGCCCTGTAGGAACAATTGCTGCTCAGGACCCAACTAGTTCCAATGTTGGTGTTCTGAACTACGACCAGGTCTTTATCCGTGACTTTATACCTTCTGGTATAGCTTTTCTGCTGAAGGGAGAATATGAGATTGTTCGCAACTTCATCCTTCACACTCTTCAGTTGCAGGTAAAATGCTACTTAACTTGCACAAAAGTTTGTTTCGTTTGTGCAAAAAGATCATTTACCGATATTTTCTTTCATATAGTCATACATTTGTTTATCGCATTTTTCTTGCTTGTATCTCATCATTTGGTTTCTTATCTCATTGAGCAATCTTGCTATGGATGTTCCTTGACAGCTGTGTAATTAAAGATGGATGCAGGAATACCTTATAGTGATATGCGACTGCTTCTTATTTAACTTATTCAGGGATAAATACCTGGGGAAAATTCATGTTAATCTCTGGAAATGTATGCTAGGATGCAACTGTTTTTTTGTCTAATGTTCTGGAACGAATGGTTGGATACTGATATTTTCTCTTAAAACGCTTGTTGAGATAATTGTAATGTGGGTATACATTTATTATTTTTTATGTCTGCCAACAATTAGATCACTGTTTTTTCACTTTCCGCTGTTATATGTCCTTCTCAACATTCTGATGGTTTTGCTTTTCTACTTCAAGGTAAAATAACAAATCTTTGGATTATTTTCTTGTGTTATACCTTCCTTTATATAAAGGGTATGTTAAATATCAGTCTTCTTCTGATTTATCAAGGTAATAGTAATAGTATGATTAAACTAAATGATGAACGCCTTATTTCCTTGTTGGCTGTTCTTTTACAACAAAGAGGCACTGAAAGAAACCCCCTAAGCTTTTCACCGATGGTGTGTTCAGTTTTTGCTTATCACACATCAGGGAGGAAAGGCTGTTATCATCTAATTCCCTTAGGGGTCATTTGCTTTGCGAACAAGTTATACAGGGAGTATAATATGGGCATTTATGATACGAGGATTAGATAATAACATGATTATTTAGCGGATATTCTTTTCTTGGTCGAAGTTTGGTTCATTGGTTAAAAAATGGAATATATTAGGTATAGTATAAAACATGTGTTCAGTTTTACACTAGATAAACTTTTATTTCAAATATTACCTTTGCCTTCTCAAAGGATTTAGGGAGAAGAGCTTTGGAGAATGACAACTTTCTCATTTGGTTGTTTTACTGCTGGATGATATGATCTGGGGATTGTTATCATCAAATGTGGTATGCAAATAATACCAAAATTGTGGTATAAATAATCACGAGATTATTTATACCAGAATAAAAAATTTCAAGCAAACACAGGATAAAATTATCCCATATTTTATCCAGGATTATTATCCTTATCACTGATACTAACAACCCCTTAGTGGAACTAAGAAACCGTTCTTGTTATTGGTTGGCAGCACTTAATATGATTAAGATATAGATTAAAATTCTTTATTGGGAGGTTTATCATCTTCAGATCCCTTAATTGGGCTGAGATACCTCCTTTGTGACTAGTTGGAGGCACTTGAAATGCATCTCACAAGACTCTTTCAGGCAACGTCAGTATTATTGGGTTAGGGGGTTGGCTGAACTGTGCCTCTGCTGTGATTACCTGATCTAGTTGCAGATAGGTGTACAACAACCCTGGTCAAATGGTGATAAAGAAAGTTGGTGGCAATCTGGCAAAATGGTGTTGCTTTTTGGAAACTTCTCATTTTGTGCTTTTTTATTAATGTACCAGGGCATTCAAGGGTGTGGTCTAGTGGTTATTGATGTGGGAAAAGGCTCCGGGAGACCACACCACAGTTCAAATCCTATTGGAGATAAAAATGCTCGGTGATTTCTTTCCATCTACCTAAGTCTAGTGTGCAGCATTAGTTGGTACTTGTATTGGCAGGGGATAGTAGATGTAGGTACCTGATGGATTAGAGGTGCGTACTAGTTGGCCCAGACACCATCATTATTAAAAAAGTGTGCCAATCATTCACTCGCAAGCATCGAGCGTGCATCTTTCCAATCTTTTTTTTGGGTGATATTTCTTTTAGTAAAATATTTATATGAGAGTAGAAAAGCATAGTGGGCCCCAAACTCGGGTAAATGAGGAGGGTTGTGGTAAGCTGACAGTCAGCATAAAATTAGTTACTTATGATGAATCCTTAGAATACTTAACGTGATGTTAAGGACGCCAACTAATTCAAGATTGAGTCCTAGTTGATTGATTGTATCAGAAAAATATGCTTGTTGTGACTTATCATATTTTGGTAAAGGAATGGGCATTTTTTCAGTAGCTTCTCTTATATGATTAGTTATAGCTCGGGAAGAAATAACATGATTTATCATAAGTTACTTGTACTTTCATTGGAATTTCAGAAGTAAATGTCTTCAACTACTGGAAATTTGTAAAGTCCAGTTCCAATGTAAATTGATGTTTCCTAGAAGTATAAAAAAGTCACTCATACAGACCTCCTCTTCTGCCCACTCTTCGTTCACACGGTTCTCAAAACAAAGGAGGAAGGGTGGGGAGCAGCTATTTATCCTGCATGGAACAAGTGCGGATTTACCTTTAAACTCTGTAGTAAAAGATTGAAAACTGTGGGTTCAACCTGCTAAGTTGTTTTAAATTTCGGTGTAGATGTTTCATAGGATGTAACCCTGAACGTTCTCAATATATTCCGCTAATGTGGCTAGCATTTCGTGCAGTCTAAAAATTCTCTTAATGGAAGTGGTCAATTGTACAACTAAACTTAGATCAAATGACAAGTGATTCTGATGTCAGAGTAATCTGTATTATCGAGTATCTTGTTCATATTTCATTGGAAAATTTTTATAAAAATGACAACTGTGATATGACATTATTTTGCAGAGCTGGGAAAAAACTATGGATTGTCATAGTCCCGGTCAAGGGCTGATGCCTGCTAGTTTCAAAGTCCGGACAATCCCATTGGATGGTGATGATTCTGCGACAGAAGAGGTACTGGATCCTGACTTTGGAGAGGCAGCAATTGGTCGCGTTGCCCCAGTTGATTCCGGTAGGAAAAAGGATCTCTCCAGAAAACAAGAGTGTGTTTATTTGTGTTTTCTTTACCTTGTCATTCTTGTGCTTACAGAGACCTCTATCCACTATAACTGTTAATCCCAGGACTATGGTGGATTATTTTGTTACGTGCATATGGGAAGAGCTCTGGCGATCTCTCGGTGCAGGAGAGAATTGATGTTCAGACTGGAATAAAAATGATACTAAGACTGTGTCTTGCTGATGGCTTTGATATGTTCCCAACATTGTTGGTGACTGATGGTTCATGCATGATAGATCGCCGTATGGGAATTCATGGTCACCCTTTGGAGATTCAGGTTTGATTTCAATCACTGTAATAAAGGAGCTGTTATCCCTGGCGGATTAGTCTTTAGATGGGATGGAAAAATAGTTGAACAAAATGTGGTTGGTTTAGTCCTTTACTAGATTTAAGAATATTGATCAGTCACAAATTTTGGAGCCTATTCTTCACCTTAGAGTAATTCCAAGTTTTCTTTTGCTGCACTGTGCTACTGAGATTTTTTCCTGTTAAATATTTATGAAGTTACTCGCAATGGGGACTTGCATGGGACCTGAACCGAGTGAAATTGTGTTTGGTCCTTCTATTTTCTTCAGTAGAAGTAAACAAATGTGGGCAGATCAATTGATTTATCTTCCAGAAGATTCTCATGCTGTTGTTTATATTCAGTCTGACGTCTAATAGAGAAGTTTTTGTTGGTTACTTTTCAATGGAGTGTCATAAATTTAGTGGACTCTACTGACTTTATAGATGCTGGGATGGGAAAGAATGGATTTACAGCTTTAGTTCATCTGAAATAGGAAGTCTTTACTCACAGGTATATGTTTTAAAAGTCATTATAGTTTAAATATTAGTCAGTCAGAACACATGGTGGAGATTGATACCTGCTTGTGTATGGTGGACCGAGAGGAACTCAAGAGTTTTTGAAGATGGATACAATACTCTTCAGAATGTTAAGATGAATTGTATTCTTTTGTTTCATTTTTGGTGTAACGAAAGGCATGTAGAGAATACAGAGTCCCTGGTTGGCATGTTAGGTTTTTTGTAAGTCTGGTGGATCAGTTTTGATCTTCCCCCCTGTACATATGGCTTTGCACTGCCTTAGTGCCTTTTCTTAAAAATATATTGGTACCAGTTTTCCAAAAAAAAAAAAAAGATCAGATCAGAAAATAAGAGTTTCTTAAGTCCAAGATTGTAGTTCCTTCATTTTCGTGGAAGACTGTTATGATGCAACCCATGTGTATCTCATCTTGCCAATCAAATCCAAGGATTTTCCTTGAAGTGTTTAATGCAACTGTGGTTGAATGATTAATTGGGACATTAAAGAATATGTATATCTTTTGTGAAGTATTTTACGTCCTTCCTTTTCAGAATCACTTTTTACTAGTGCATTTCTTCCGTATCTCTCTACTCATGTGTGATGATCTTCTATGCGGTTAGAGGCATTGGTTCCTTATCTGAAAACTTAATGAACCTTAGTGTTTGTACGTTGTCAGATCCACCTTGGCTTTAGGTTATCTCAATTTGCTCCTAAGAATGTTGTTTAAGATTATATTTTAATTTGTTGCAGGCACTGTTTCATTCAGCACTGCTTTGTGCTCGGGAAATGCTTACACCAGAGGATGGATCAGCTGACCTTATCCGAGCATTAAATAATCGTCTTGTTGCCTTATCATTTCATATTAGAGAATACTATTGGATTGATATGAAAAAGCTAAATGAGATTTACCGGTACAAGACGGAGGAGTACTCCTATGATGCAGTTAACAAGTTCAATATTTACCCAGATCAGATTTCTCCTTGGCTGGTTGAATGGATGCCAAACAAAGGTGGATATTTGATTGGAAATTTGCAACCTGCTCACATGGATTTCCGATTCTTTTCTCTAGGAAACTTGTGGTCTATTGTCTGCAGTCTTACAACAGACGATCAGTCACATGCTATATTGGATCTCATTGAGGCCAAGTGGGCAGATCTGGTCGCTGATATGCCTTTTAAAATATGCTACCCTGCTCTTGAGGGTCAGGAGTGGCAGATTATTACAGGGTGTGATCCCAAGAACACGTAATTTTCTACCTCGGTTACGTTAAAAAGTTTACTTCTTTGTCTTCTGTTGGCTCTTAATGCCTTGGTCTATTATCTTTCTTCATCTCACATTATCTTCTTGTTTGTGATGCAGGCCTTGGTCCTACCATAATGGAGGTGCATGGCCAACTTTGCTTTGGCAGGTAACATCTAATTCTCTATCTCGAATGAGGAACTGGATGCTTGTAGCCAATCTGATCTTGGGTTGGGAGAACATTTCATTTCTATTTTTCCTTTATCAAGAATCTTTTAAACATTCCCGATCTGATTTTTCGTTCAGTGCATGACTTTGCTAATATAATCACTTATTTTATAGCTTACATCTCTGTTTTGTGTTATGTCTCATTAGTTAATCGACAATTGCGTTACAAAGAATGACCTGCATTAAGGTGCATTCTTAGTCTTGTTTTTATCGTGGGAATCTCATCATTCGTCTTATTTCTTTTATCATGCTAGTATCTAATGAAGTTGCACAAGTTTGTTTCTAAGATAGAAAAAGATACTACTGAATGTTTTGAACTAATTTCACGGTGATATATGATACTCATCGTGTACGAAGTAGTATTGTCGAAGGTTTGCTCGTCTTCTGTCCAGTAATTGAATTAGTTTCTCAAAGGTATTATTATAGAATCAGCTGGGAGGAATCCGAAGTTGACGTAATATCTCTTGTATCTTTTGTAGCTGGCTGTTGCTTCTATTAAGATGAATAGACCCGAGATTGCTGCAAAAGCTGTTGAAGTTGCAGAGGAACGCATATCACGAGACAAGTGGCCAGAATATTATGACACTAAAAAAGCAAGGTTCGTAGGGAAACAAGCTCGCCTTTTCCAGACTTGGTCAATAGCTGGATACCTCGTCGCCAAGCTTCTCCTTGCCAATCCAAGCGCTGCAAAGATCCTCATTACTCAAGAAGACTCTGAGCTTCTCAATGCCTTCTCTTGTGCTATCAGTTCTAATCCCAGAAGAAAGCGCGGTCCAAAAAGTTCCCAGAAGACCTACATAGTATGAGATCAAGTCAGTTCAAGATTATGATGAAAGCAACCCCACAAATGATTGGATGTTACAGTTGTTGATTGTCTCATATTTGACAACAGACATTCTTCTATGGGTAGTGACTATTCATTGAGCCAGTCAAAGTGTAAAATAGCTACAGATTATTGTTTTGCCTGGTCTTCACAAGCTGAAATTCTATTAACATTTCAGCTTATAATATTTCTGTTCTTCTGTAAACAACATACTAACTACAGTCAATACTAAGAAGCTTTTCAACCTCGGACGATTAAGCGTTGATGCCTGAATATGAAATGATTCAGTATGCATTATATCTCATAGTTCTCCATATGGAAGTTCCTAATTGTTTTTGCATAAATTTTACTGTTGTACAGTAGGGAGAAGCCAGGCTGGGGTCCTTAATTTTATATATATGGTTTGTCATGCTTGGTTGTAGTAACATTAATCAGTCTCTCTACCTTGACTCTTTCTACCAATTTCTGTGTGATATTGTAATACATAAGTTATTCCTTTTACCACTGTACTTTTGTTGAATCTGCTGAGAAAGCATTGATATGAAAAACAAGATATTATGCCACAAAGCATGAATAGTATGTAATAATACATTTTATTTATTAAGTGTAGGTCACTAGTCAAGGTTCTGAACTACAAAAGAATTGACCAAAGTAAGAGAAACCTGAATCTTTTTGAGCTGTAAAATTTGCAAACACCAGAAGACAAACTAGTTAACATTAATAAAGGGACTTGGTGTTCATATAAGACCAAGCAATTTAATCATAAGAGTCACAAATTAAAGTGAGGATACATGTCAGTTAATCATGGTTAAGTGTAAAAGTTTATACAGAAACACGTGTTTTGTATTCATTTGCTTGATGTAAACATCAGTTTTTTCCATAAGAACCCTATAGGCGAGCCGTGAAAACAGTCTCTTGCATAAATGCAGAGTAATATTGTGTACAATAGATCTTTGTGGTCCGATCCTTTTATGGACCCCGCGCATAGCAGGAGCTTAGTGCACCGGACTGAGTGCCCTTTCAATAAGAACCCTATAGGATGTCATTATATTCCCTAAGAACAATATATGTAAATTGTTTTTAATATCTGTCACTTTCAATATCTTTAGCTGAGATGGCTCAGATATACATAATTAAACTAATGGTCAATATGCCACCAAAGAGGTGCCAGAAAACTAATCTAATATATGGTACAAAAATATCATACTCTTAAATTATAGCCAATAACAACAACAACAACAATCCAGTATAATCCTACTAGTGGGGTCTGGGGAGGGTAGTGTGTACGCAGACCTTACCCCTACCCTGGGGTAGAGAGACTGTTTCCGATAGACCCTCGGTCTCGCTCCCTCCAAGAATTCTCCACCCTGCTCTTGGGGTGACTCGAACTCACAACCTCTTGGTTGAGGTGGATGGTGCTTACCACTAGAGCAACTCACTCTTGTAATATATAGCCAATATATAGTAATAAACTGTTTGGGCCATGAATATGGGCCCGGACTCTCTCCAACCGCCGGCACAATGTCCCACAACCATTTTGCCGGCCCAAAAATCTACATTTCTCCTACCCTTCAAAACAGAATGAACTTCTTTCCATTCTCCTCTCCATTATAACTCACCAAACAATATTTCCACCATCTTATCACCTTCATTATTTTCTCTTCTTCTCTGTCAAAAACCATGTTAACATCTCCGGTCCACGAGGACGCCGGCTTGTCACCATCTCCAACCATTAGCTCCACCACGTTAGAGGTGGAAGAAGTCCGTCTTAGCGTAAACTCGGAGGTGGAAACAACCATATACAATGCTCATACTTCCATTTCATCCTCCATAAAGCCCCATGCAACGTCTAACGATCCATGCTGGAACGCCATGCGTCGTGTCCAGACAGAAGTCGCGAGTTTGAGCCTTGATGATTTTTCCTTTATTCGAAAAGTTGGAAGTGGAGACATTGGTTCTGTTTATCTTGTTGAACTAAAGGGTAATAAAGGGTGTTTGTTTGCAGCTAAAGTGATGGATAAAGAGGAATTGGTTAGTAGGAGTAAAGAAGGTAGAGCTAGGATAGAAAGGGAAATATTGGGAATGTTGGACCACCCTTTTTTGCCTACCCTTTATACAACGTTGGACACTGATAAATGGTCTCTTTTGTTGACTGAGTTTTGTCCTGGTGGTGATCTTCATGTTCTCCGGCAACGGCAGCCGGAAAAAAGATTTGATGAAGCCGCCGTCCGGTTAGTAGTACTTCTCTTCTATCATTACTGTCTTTTTGATTTAACCATCTGTTATTCGAAACCTACTATACCGATTAATTCAGATTCATGCCGCATAGACATGTTAAAATGGAGAAGTACTACCAACAGGGTTGTAGTGGCGTGTGTAAGTACTCTTTCTTCCTTATTACCAAAGACTTAAGGTTCAAGCTTGGATATCGCCTTTGTTAGAGAGTGCTTTAATCCTAATGTGAGATTTTTTGAAGCAAATACGGATTTAGTCTGGTCCCAATACTAGTACTATACACTAGGTGATAAACCAAAAAATAAATGAGAAGCGCTATTGTATTAGTCAATTCTCTATTTTCAGAGCTCAAACCTAGAAGTCCGATTAAGGTTAGAGGAATTCCATCCATCCCGGCCGCCATACTCATTGATTTTTCCTCTACAATTAATTATTCCAACTATATTTTAATTAACTGTGTGGTGATGATTGATGTAGTCAATGTGAATGTTTGTCCAGTTTGCCACTTTGCCTATGGGCCACTTTGGTAGAGTTCTAAGATAATGTGGAAATAAATTTTAATATAAAATGATGTTTAATGTGTCCTACTATTATTTTGCTTTCTATTATTAGCTGAAACTTATTATGACTAATTAATGTAACATGTGACTTTGTCTATTTGATGTAACAGGTTCTACACATCAGAAGTGGTGGTTGCTTTAGAGTATTTACACATGATGGGGATAATTTATCGTGATTTAAAGCCTGAAAATGTACTAGTAAGATCAGATGGTCATATTATGTTAACTGATTTTGATCTCTCACTAAAATGTGATGATTTAACAGTAATGCCTCATCTTGTTCAAGAAAGTAGTCCAAAGCTAAATCATTCAAATGATCGTTCCTCCAATAATTCACCTCCATATAATTCTACGTCTTCGTGCATTCTACCAAATTGTATCGTGCCACATGTCTCGTGCTTGTACTCTAAACACAGGCGAAGAAGAAGAAGAAGAACGATTCAACGGCCCCTCAGGATGGTAGCTGAGCCAATCGAGGCGCGATCGATGTCATTTGTTGGAACCCACGAGTACTTGGCCCCAGAAATTGTGTCAGGGGAAGGCCATGGCAATGCAGTGGATTGGTGGACGCTAGGGATTTTCATGTATGAATTGTTATACGGTGTGACGCCTTTTAGAGGGCTTGACAATGAGTTCACTCTCTCAAACATTGTGGCTCGACCCTTTGAGTTCCCTAAGGAACCAATAGTTCCAACCATGGCTAAGGACTTGATCACTCAACTTTTGGTTAAGGACCCTACCATGAGAATGGGGTCCACAATGGGGGCCACAACAATTAAACAACATCCTTTCTTTGATGGTGTGAATTGGGCACTCTTGAGATGTACAACCCCACCTCATATTCCCCAATATTTCAAAACTAGAGACTTTGTCTCATCTTATGATAATTGTGATGATTATGTTGATTATTATTAATGATAAGAGTTTCACCAGCATTGTATAGTCATTATATATATGTAACTGTTTATTGCTAGTCTGATATAACTAGTTATCTAGAAAATAGAGTAAATAATTTGATGTAGTATGTGAAAACGCATTAATAATATAAAAGAATTTTTACACTATTAGTGCATTAATCTAATTTTTTCACTTGATATTCATGAATAGAACTGCATATGCTACCATATTAGGCGTAATTGCCACACCAATGATTGATATATTAAAGTTGCACTAGGTTGTTAATAGGGAAATGAGTTTTAAAAGGGGTCTTAGAAGAAGATTTGTTTTAAAATAAATTATTCACATAAATTGTGAATTGGATCCTAAATTGTAAAATAATTATTAATTTTGACTTTTACTCACTTACGGGGCCTTGTTTATAAGTAAGGCGGGACAGCTGATTACAAATAATTTGTTGGTAGATTGCTTTATACATGGTAACATATTTATCAGTCTAGATTGCATAACATTTTTCTCCAAGCTGGTAATTCTTTTATTCTAATATTCTATTCATTGGATGATGTTACCCTTTATGTGAGGTAATGAGTTTGCATGTATATAGTCATCATTCCTTCTATTTATAAAAAGTTGAGAGTTGATATTAATGATTGTCATGAAATGGAGAGATATCAAGTATTCGAAATTCATTAATTTGATTAATTTGAATTCGCGTCTCGTTAAGTCCATTAAAAAAAGCTTTCTTACCAAAAGTTTATCTATAGGATTACTCTTTTATTTGAGATAATGATTTTGCATGTACTCATCTTGCTATTTATGAATACTTGAGAGTCGATATTAGTAATTTCGCTATGAAATGGAGAACTATCCTATATTATAAACGTATTGACTTTATTAACCCGATTTTGCGTAGTGTAGGGCCTATTAGTAGTTTATCTATTCATATGTGCTATTCAAATTAGTTTGAAACAGGGGCGTGTTAATCAACAGCTGAGCAATAAGCTAGTAGCTAACTGTGATTAATTTTAATATAATATTAAACTAGAGTTAGAGAGTTAGTTAGTTGACAGTTAAGTAAGTCGGTTAGGTTATTATAAGTAGTAGTCGACTCTGTACAGTTGTTCAGTTTTTCAGAAATACATGTAGCTCTTCTATGATTTCCTCTTCTTCCAGATTCTTTTTCTTAGCTTTGATTTCCATATCCATAGCAGCTAACATGGTATCAGAGCTGGTTGAAATCTAAGCTAATTTGCGAGCACATCTCGTCTTCTCTGTTACTTCAATTCTGCAATTGAGTGCTGAATTGAGCTAGAGTAACCTTCGATTGAAGATAGGGTTTGTTAGCTACTTACTCTGAAGCTATTTCTTAGTCAATAATGGCGATTGGAGATGAACACACTACCACAACCTTAACTACTGGTAATTTCACGGCTGGAATTACTACATTTCCTACCATCGATCACAACCACCCTTTTTACCTGCAATTAACAGATACACCAGGTAGTTCTCTGATTTTTCTTTAACTTACTGGATCAGACAATTATGCCTTGTGGAGTCGTGCAATGAGAATTGGCTTGCTAGGTAAAAGTAAACTAGGTTTTGTCGATGGCAAATTTCCTAAGTCTAAATTTGAGCCTGGGCTTCATGATCTATGGGAGAAAGTTAATGCTATAGTTCTCTTATAGATAATGAATGCTGTGAGACCGGGGTTGTTGAGTAGTGTCTTGTATGCATCTAGTGCTCATAAAATTTGGAAGGATTTGAAAGAGAGGTTTGATAAAGTAAATGGTTCAAGAATACTGTATTTGCACAGAGAAATTCACACACTAACCCAAGGTACTATGACTGCAACTGACTACTTCTCAAGGCTTAGAGAGCTGTGGGATGAGTTTGATGCCCTCATGCCTTGTCCTTGTCCTGAATCTAAACAGTATGCTCTACACTTTGAGTATCAAAGACTTCTTTAATTTTTCATTAGGTTGAATGAGTCCTACTCTCAATCAAGGAGTCAGATCATGATGATGTCCCCTCTCCCTAGTATAAACAAAGCTTATTCTTTGTTAGTAGATCATGAAAGTCAAAAAAACCTCACAAGCACAACACAAGTTGCTCAGGTTACTGAGGCTTTGGAGAGTACAGCCATGTATAGCAGTAAGAATGTGAATAATGCTGGAAATTATAAATCCAAAAAGAGCCAAGTTTAATGTGAATACTGTCACTATAAGGGACATACAAAAGAAAATTGTTACAAATTGATTGGATATCCTTCTGACTTCAAGACCAAAAGAAAAGGAGTTAGTCCTGGACAATATGCCAATTATGCAGGCAATGTAGAAATTACATGTGTAGAAAGATGTAATATGGCTACCAATGACACCTACTATCAATCAACAATCTAGGAAGTGGATAATCTAACTCAGGTACATCACAACAAATGAGTCAACCTGCTCTTTTCAGTAGATGTCACATCCAGCTCCTGTTTTCACTCCTGAGCAATATCAACAAATTATTCATCTACTTTCTAAAGGGAGCTCAGAAGGATCAGACACATCCAACAAAGTTGCTGCAACAGGTATTCTAAATCATGCGAATGCTTTTATGTCTCAATGTGTCAATAGTAAGTGGATAGTTGACACCGGGCCTTCAAACCACATGACTTCAAGTTTAGAGATGCTACATACTCATATACCACTTCCAAATACAGAGGCAAACAAAGTATATTTGCCTACTGGACATGTTGTGTCAGTGTCACATACAGGTTGCACTTCTGTATTAAGTAACCAGGAGATCTCTAATGTTCTGTACATTCCTGACTTTAAGTTTAACTTATTGTCAGTCTCAAAACTCACTAAGGAGCTAAAGTGTATGGTTGGATTCTTCCCTGACTTCTGTATTTTTTAGGACCTCTTCAGTGGTTAGGTGAAGGGGATTGGTAGAGAAAAACATGGGTTGTTCTGCAAGGAGGCACCTCAAAACAAGATCTACATCAGGCAACAAATAAGTATGTTAACACAGTAAATACTATGTCAGTATCTTCATGTACTTCTATTTCTAGCACTTTGTGGTATAGAAGGTTAGGACATGCTCCTTTAGATATAATAAAGAGAGTATAAACACTAAGCAAACTCACAACAATTGATTCTCATCATTGTACTGTCTGTCCTGTAGCCAAACAAACCAAGTTGCCCTTCCAGCTAAGCAGTACCACTACAAAATCAGTGTTTGAACTAGTTCACTGTGATATATGAGGATCTTATAGAGTGCCCACACATGATGGTAAGAGATATTTTGTCACAATAGTTGATGACTATACGAGGTATACTTGGATCTTCTTACTACACTCTAAGTCAGATGTTATTGTAGTTCTAAGAGATTTTCTTAATCAAGCAAAAAATGTCTTCTCTACTGCTGTAAAAGTTCTAAGAACTGATAATGAAAGTGAATTTTTCAGTACTGAGTTTAAGAGTCTACTATCTAGTCTTGGTATTTTACATCAAAGCACATGTGTTTCTACAACCCAACAGAATGGGGTGGCAGAAAGGAAACACAAGATCATCTTGGAAATAGCTAGATCACTCAGATTCCAACCTGCTGTACCTTTACGATTTTAGGGAGAATGTGTTGCTACAACAGTATACTTACTTAATCGACTGCCTTCTAAAGTTGTTGGATACAAATCACCATTTGAGATGCTGTATTTGCACCCTCCTTCATTGCCTCATCTCAAAGTTTTTGGCTGTTTATGTTATGCCACCATACCTCAAGTGCTGGATAAGTTCTCACCCAGAGCAATACCTGTTGTGTTCTTAGGATACTCCTCCACTCAAAATGGGTATTTGTTGTACACTTTGCATTCAAGAACATTCATAGTCAACATGAATGTTGTGTTTCAAGAGAATATTTTTCCCTTCAAGCATGCAACATCTATTGGAACTCCTGTATTCCCTATCCTAGATTTGTTATCTCCTACTCTGAGCAAAATCACTTCTCCTTCCCCTACACCACAAGTAACAGAAGTGTCCATTGATACTAGTTCAAATCAGTTGCCTGCACACTCTTCTCAGGGAGCCCCTCACTCTGCAACAAACTCAGAAGAAGCTGCTTCTACAACTCCGTCTGTTGTTGGTCAATTGCGTGATGTCAGTCATAATACACTTGTGTTTCCTCAACAAGCTGATGAGATTCCTACAGAACACAGAAGATCATCTAGACCAAGCAAGCCACCTCTGTGGCTGCAAGACTATGTCACTACTTCTAAAGGCTCTAAATGCACTTATCCTATCTCTTCCTATGTGGACTACTCTCATGTCACTCCATCCTATAAGAAAGCTCTTGCAACCTATTCAGCTATTTCAGAACCAACTTCCTTCAAAGAAGCTGTAGCTGATCCTAAGTGGATAACAGCAATGAAGTTGGAAATTGCAGCCTTTGAGGATAATCACACTTGGAGTATTGTAGATTTTTCATCTAGGAAGACTCCTATTGGTTGCAGGTGGGTTTACAAAATTAAGTACAAAGCATTTGGTGAAGTAGAGAGGTTTAAAGCCAGGCTAGTAGCTAAAGGTTATAGCCAGAAAGAAGACTTGGATTATGGAGAAACTTTCTCCCCTGTGGCCAAGATAGTGATTGTTAGGTCTGTTATTGCCTTAACAGCCTCAAGACATTGGTTGATTTTTCAAATGGATGTCCACAATACCTTTCTCAATGGAGATCTCACTGAAGAAGTCTATATGCAATTGCCTGAGGGGTTTGCTAGACAGGGGGAGACTTATAGGAAGGTCTGCAAACTACATAAGTCCCTTTATGGGCTTAAGCAGGCACCTAGACAGTGGAATATGAAGCTGACATAAGCTCTACTCAACATGGGTTTTCAACAAAGTCACTATGGTTACTCTTTGTTTACAAAGAAGGCTGGGGATGATATAGTTGTCATATTGGTATATGTTGATGATCTTCTGATCACTGGGAGCAACCAACAACTATTATGTAGTACTAGATCAGACCTCAAGAAGAGGTTCAAAATGAAAAATCTAGGAGAACTTAAGTTCTTTTTAGGGATTGAGTTTGCAAGGTCCAAGAGAGGAATCCTTATGTGTCAAAGAAAATATGCCTTAGAGATAATTTCTGAGTCAGGTTTGAGTGGTGCAAAACCAGCTGGAACACCACTAGAGCTGAATCAGAAGTTAACTTTAGTGGAGTATGATAACTGCTTCAAGAATGACAACACTCAGGTAGATGAAGTTCTTAACAATCCTGGTGCTTATCAAAGGCTCATTGGAAGATTGTTGTATCTCACTATGATAAGACATGATATTGCATTTGTAGTTCAGGTTATTAGTCAGTATATGCATTGTCCTAAAATCTCTCACATGGAAGCAACACTAAGAGTTGTAAAGTACATAAAAGAGGCTCCTGGACTGGGGTTGTTCTTGCCTGCAGAATCTGCAAATCAATTAAGTGCCTATTGTGACTCAGACTGGGGGGCATGTATACAAACTAGGAGATCAGTCACATGGTATTTGGTAAAGTTTGGAAGTGCATTGATATCCTAGAAATCCAAGAAGTAGAGTACTTTATCCAGAAGTTCTGCAGAAGCTGAGTTTAGGAGCATGGCATCATGCGCAGCAGAAGTCACCTGGCTAGTAGGACTGTTTAGTGAACTTGGTGTCAAAGTTGAACTCCCTATAACTCTGACATGTGATAGTAAAGCAGCAATCCAAATTGCAGCAAATCTAATCTTTCATGAGAGGACAAAACACATTGACATAGATTGCCACTTTGTGAGAGAGAAGCTGAGTCAAGGTCTGCTAAAAACTGAGTATGTTAATACTGAAGACCAACTAGCAGATATACTTACCAAAGGTTTAGGAAAAGCTCAACATGAACAGCTGCCGAACAAACTAGGGTTGAAGAACTTGTATCAACCATCGGCTTGAGGGGGATTGTTAATCAGCAACTGAGCAATAATCTAGTAGCTAACTGTGGTTAATTTTAATGTAATATTAAACTAGAGTTAGAGAGTTAGTTAGTTGAAAGTTAAGTAAGTCGGTTAGGTTGTTATAAGTAGTAGTCGACTCTGTATAGTTGTTTAGTTTTTAGAAATGCATGTAGCTCTTCTCTGATTTCCTCTTCTTCCAGATTCTTCTTCTAGCTTTGATTTCCATATCCATGGCAGCTAACGGGGCGGAGCTAGAAGCTGAAATATGTGTTCAGCCGAATCCAGTAGCTTTTGTTCAAATAGTATATTTGTGTTAAAAAATAAATTTAGAACCCAATTATTAATATTTAAATCCAATTAACTATATATAAATATTAAAATTATTGTTCTAAAATTCAGAATTCAGGTTACTTTCCTTGACTTTGGTAAAGCAAAAAAGGAAAAATAATTGAATAAGGTTGAGAGAAGTAAAACCAAAAAAGGAAAAATAGAGTTCGAAAGACGGTCATTAATCAGTTTCGTCATTTTCTTCCATATAAGGCAACAATAAATAGCCTGCTGCTAGAGAGCCAAAAATTTGAACCAAACAGAAAACGCAACAGCCAAACTATAGGGTTTTGGGAAGAATTAAGCTGTTTAATTTGTCTCCTTCAACCTCTTACCAAAACCACCATATTCATGAAATCTGTGTGTCAATTTTGTATATAAAGAGATGTTACACAACTCAGCTTCAGTTTCCTCTGCAATTTTTGAGTTTTTAATTGATGAAAATGGATAATAAAGAAGCATTCAATCACAAACTCCTTGATCGTGTCCAGGAGTCAATGGAAGAAGAGGTACGTCAATGGCGTCCGAACTTTCTAGAACTTTCTACCATATCATTTTTCCTTTTTTTTTTGTTTTGTGAAAGATATACACGTTTTTGTGCTGTTTTTAGGATATGGAATGCGAGAAAATGGATGATGACGTATTCAGCCAACAACTACTTGGTGATATCTATCAGTCTCTCGAAAATGAGGTACGTCATTTGCACTGCATATTCTAGAAACAATTTTTTTTTTTTACAGTAATTCTGTAATTTCGAACCTTAAATTCTCACTTGCATTTATGCGTGAAGGCCGTTACAGTGCATCAAACATGTGATCTTCAAGTTACGTATAGAGAAGCTCTATAGTTAATCCTTTATGTTTGCTAGTACTTAATTCTTTTTTGTTTTAGTTAGAATCCAATTATTTTTCATTGTAAAATTTAGTCAAAGTTCATCTACTGAAGAGATCCTTTTGTAAGGTGTTTATTTCTTGTTTTTTTGGTATAAGTTTAATGATATGGTTAGAGACAGAGATTACAGTTTAATTATATGTGCTACGCTTGGTCTCTCTCTTAATGTCACAGCAACTCTCATTTTTCTCTGCTATTTCTAGGTTTCCAATTGCCAGAAAATGGATAAAGGCGCACTCGTTCAACAACTACTTGACCGCATTCAGTCCCTTGAGGATGAGGTATACCAATGACACTGCATTTTCTGGTAGTTTTCTATTCCCCCTTTTCCCAATTTATATGGCATTGTTTTACCGCGCATAGAGTTTAAGAGAGAAAGAAAAGCTTTTAAAACTTGTGGTTTATGAACAAGCCATAGACACTTGTGTGGCATTGCATTAAGGGTAAAATGAGAAATTTAAATTTAAATTATTTCTATATAAGAAAGTATGACATTCCTTTTTGGATATACTAAAAAGGAAAATATGCTACATAAATTGGAACAGAGGAAGGAGTATAATTTTTTTCTTCTAATTTTTGAACCTGAATTGTCTATTGTCTTAACTCTTAAATAGCTCTTGCACAAATTCCTCCTCGATTAGTGTGGTAAGCGGAGAGTGGACTAATAACATTTTGCAGCCGTGTCTTGCATTTAGCAAAGAGGCTGTTTTAATGCCTTGAAACGGTGACTTACATGTCACTATTGAGACATTGAGTAATTCCGTCGTTGTGTCAATGCTTATCCTCGTAGAAATCTACAGTGTAGGCTTAAAATTTATGTGCATTAGTAGTTTTTCTAGGTTCACGTAAAGACAAAGATCCTTCTTTGAGGTGTTTGCTTGAGTTTTTGTATTATTAAATGACGTGGAAATGTTAAAGGTATATCAATCATTGGGGATGACTTTTGCAGGGTTTGGTTGATAGCTATTTCCAAATTTGCTACTCGTTGAAGGAGGACAACGGTCCTTATTTCTTCCTGGAGCTAATTCCAAGCTTTTTATCCGATGCTCGCACTGTTATGCGTGACATGGCTGAGGCCCTGTATGTTCTTGTCGTGTTGATATGTTTTGACCTACAGTTGTTGATTTGTGTTACTTTCTTTCTTTAATTTTAGTGAGTCACCAGTTGTGGACTTTGATGTTTTAATTGAGCATTGTATCAAGCTGAAAGGAAGTTCTGCATGGTAAGTTGTATTTTGTTAAAGTAGCCATAAATGTTCTTCCACTTAAAGCTTATTTAGATACTTGATATTTGCAACACGGTCTAAAAGTTATATACATTGCATCATTAACACAGAATGGGCAGAGAGGATTCAAATAGGAAACACTAACTAGTTTGCGACGAGGCATAGTTGATTGATTTTGTTTTATCAGAAAGAAGCCGTTTTGTAATTTTTTTAATCTAAACATTACTATCTCTCATATCTTACCGAGGATTTATCAATACTTTTTCCACGGAAAACTCTCTGCAAGTGGATCATCAATCTTTTGTTGAATATGCCACAGCTGGAATCTTGGGTTAGCCTTTGCCTCTATAATTACTTGCTACAGGAATGATTCTAATGATACTGCTCAACTTATTTTGCAGCCTTGGAGCCTGTAAGATTACGAATGTATGTTCTGATTTTTCCAAGGCTGTTGACAAGAAATCCAAGGATGAGTATGATTCTTTCTTCATCAGCTTGATATTTGTATACAACTCCTTGTTCTTTAGGTTTTACGATTGACTTGCTTGTTAGGTAATCTGTTTGAATTGGAAGCTGTTTAATACATGTCCTTATTCATCTCAAAAATGTAGGGATCTTGTGGTATCTCACTGGCATTGATTTAGTTTTGATGGAGATGGAAAACTAATGGTTTAGAGAACTTAATTGTACTTGGCTTTTTGTTACCATAGCTTCCATTTAGGTAGACAGTTTAGAATGCATTCCCTTGAACAGGCAAATATAAGAAAAGGAAAATTGAGTTTCATCTTGCCTGCAACCCCATGCATTTTATGGCCATTGAACCCCTTAATCTTTTACTTTCATTTTCCTTTCATGGAAAAAAGAAATCTAGCAACTCACTCTGTTTAACACTTATGCTGACAAAAGGAGGACAAATTGTAATTCTAGTTTTTCACGTGGGCTAAGAATGTTTAAAAAGGTTCTTCTACATGTAAGCAAACTGCATAACCAGTGTGATGCTTATTATTGCTTCTTTTTCCTTCTTGTGATAAGGCTGGGAGACAGGGCTTTTACAAGATGTATGAGCACTTTATTTAAGAACAACTTTAGGATATAGTGCGGGTCTAGATGTGGGAAAAGATGTTTAAGAAAACGTTCTTTCTTATTCATGTAAGAATATTGCACAACTGTGATCTTGCTTTATATATTGTTTCTTTTCACTTAATATTAAGATTGAGAGACAAGGGCGGACTCTTTTAAGATGTGATGTATATTAGTAGAGATTATATATATAAAGAAAAAAGAAAATCAAACATTTGTTCAAGGTATTCTGAAGATGTGTATGGATTCAGCATAGTCCAGGAGAAAAAAATTGGAACCTTTGCTGGTGAGCTCTTCTGCTTCTTGTTTCCTTTCATGTTAAAGGTGGATGACTGTTTCTCGCAACTATTTTTCTGATTAGGACAGAAAGGTTCTGTGAAGAAAACTCCTTAAAAATCCTGGATTCAAATCCCTGCTTGGTGCATGATATATTAGAACACTCTACATTTCAGTTGAAAAAAGTAAAAAAGAAAGAAAGATTGAGTGGATCCATCTATTTTATCTATAAGGTCCTGTCTGGAGGTAACTAGTAATTATATTATGAGATTAAGGAGAAAGCTTAATTGTTTGAGGGATTAAGGAGAAAGCTTAATTGTTTGAGGGCACTCAGGAGCACACCTTGGGGTAGTTTTCTTGAGGAAGTCAGGTGCATATCCATGGACTTTAGACTTTTACCTGAGAGATACACCTGTTTCCTTTTGCCAGAATTGTCTGCATCAAAAGCTTTTTCTTTCCCTTAATGCACAAAAAAAGGAAAGAAAAGAGAAAGACGTTAAACGTCTCGAGTCATTTAGTATTGTGTTGGGTGACATGTCACCTGCATTCTATGTTCCCTCATAGGAAGATCTAGAATTCAATGAAGTTTTGGCTGTTCTGGTTACTGGAAGTGGTGGTTGTCCGAGTGGGTTACTCTATTGTATCCTCATGCATACTTGTCTGCGTGGTTTTTGACCTACATCTGTGTGGATGTTAGTTGTGAGAGAGGATGTATTAATCATTTTGCAATGATCAGAATGGTACTAATCTTGTTGCTTGGTTTTTTTTGTGACGTAGAATCGTTTCAGCATTAACTTTTCTTATTATGGTTAGAATTTCATTACCATTTGGAATCTTTTCTTTTTCAAAGCATAGATTTACATGATAGGAGTGTGCTTTCTCTAACAAGAAAAATCATTAACCACCCTCTGTGAGAATCATCTTGTTGGTCATCCTAATTTGCAAATATCACGAAGACGTCCCGTTTGGACTATATTTGGGTGAAGTTGAAACAACTGAGTATTTGAAGTTGAAGTTGAAATAGAGTATTTGGAAAAAAAAATTGTGTCCGGACATGAACTTCAGTTGGATAAAAGTTGAAGTTTGTCCTCAAACCAGTTTTCAAACTTCAAATTCTCTATTTCAAGTTGAAGTTGATATAATGGACAAAATTGTAAAACAGTCATTGATTTGCAAATAATATTTCATTGTTTTCATATAACATATTCCAAACGTCTAAGTGGTTATCTGACAAAACGTTTCCCCTTGGCTCTGTAGGTGTTTGCGGATATTAAGAAACATCAATCGAGAATATCGTGATCTTCAGAGCAAGTTGGAAAGCATTATGCAGGTACTATATTGTCATGTCTACATTTACTCTTAAGTCGTCGGTGACTTTTCAACTGTGTCATCTGGTAATACCGGAGAATCCAGCTTCTTCATGAGCTGCCCGTAGATGTCTGGGCAAATTACATTAACTTTCACTTACGAATACACCTATTCTATATCAATCTTTCTAACAGGTGTAGAAGTAAGGTCTTTCATGAATAATTCTAAAGCAGCTTAATATGATTTTCTTTAACTTATTTTAATCACTATTTAACCATCTATCAAATTTCTTCTGACACAATTGTATGTCTCTGTTGTATGGTTTGTTATATTGCATTGCTCTAATACTATAATCCCTCTGTAATGCAGTTAACTCATTATAATCCTGAAGATTATATTGCTGTCAGCTGACAGAAGTAATGAACCTAAAATTATAACCTCTTGAGATTATCCTGATCAAAGTTACATTCTACTTTTATCTTTTACTCCTATAGTACTATGCTATGCAATGTTGGCTTTCGTACATTTCCTACTAGATCCCACTCTAAGATGTCCCTAAGAACTATATCAAATTTTCCTTTTTTCCCTCTGTTTCTTGATTATGTCATTCCTGCATTTCATCATGTGAACATAGCTAGAGGAAAGTTAATAATATAACAGGAGACAGAAACCTCAATTAGGATTATATAAAGCCTTTTTAGCACGCATGAGAGTTACCGTGGATGCGGCACTTTGAGATACTTGATAAATTTACTATTCTGGTGGTATTCCGAGAGAACCTGAAGTTACTAATTTTGGCTCTTAAATTATGAGAGTATGCTTTTGTTAGTCAGGAAACTGCTGCTTCTTGCCGAAATGCTAATCATGATAAATAAGAATTTTGCTCGTATTTAAGACTAAACCATTCAATTTCAGAGGAGGTTTTATAGAGTAATCAACCTAATTTCTTCTTGCATTTTTGTTTTCAACTGTAATGCTAGTAGAAGTTTGTGTAAATTGTCTAATAAGTAACATTCTTCTTTGCATGTAAATGAAGCTTGAGAAGGAAATCGTTTCTGCTGACAGCTCAGAGTCATGATCTGTCACTGGTGATTCTCTCATCCTAAGTAACCGTAATATTCTGTACTTCCCTTTTTTTTAATATTTGTGTGTAATGCTTTTTGCTTCCAGATCTAAAGATGGGGAATCAAGGAAAGGCCGAATCATGGACATCGTTTCAAGAATCAATTATAACGTTGGAGAGCTTGAGAAAGCTGCTTAGGTTTCCAAATCTGAAGAACAAAGAATGTGCTTTACAATTCTACTGCTAGAAAAGCTATGAAAAATAACAATGTTTAAACTTTTTTAATTACCATACAGGTGCAACTGTTTTGTATAAGACAATTACAGTATCTTCATTTATTTTATCTTGTTTTATTGTACCGTGTTCTTTTATGGTTGAAAAGTCAAGCTGCGAAGCAAGATAGTAAGAGTATTTTAAAATATCTTTTTTAAGTTGTGCACAAGCCATCCCGCGTTCCCGCAAGATCTAGGGAAGAGTCGCATCCCAAGGGTGTGATGTAGACAGCTTAACCTAATGCAAGCATTAGTGGCTACTTCCATGGCTTAAACCCTTCTGTGACATATAGGTTAAAAAAATTATCTTTTTTAAGTGAGCTTTATTAATTATTACACTATTCGTTTTGTTAGGTATTTATGGAAGGCCTAAAAGGATGAAAAGATCACACTTTCGCGGTTAGCCTTGACCCTTTTCTTGAAAGCCAAACGTCAAATTGTCTTGCAAATTATTTTTTGAACTGTAAATGCTGTCGAACTTCCCGATAAAGGAACTGTATAAGACAAGGATCAAATGAAGTTAAAATGGTTGTGTCCTCTTATTGGAGAATCAAGCACTTATTTATTTGTTCATATGTACTAGACCACCTCTTACAGAAAAACACATGAGTCCAAAAAACATATTGTCCTTTTTATTAATGGTTGCTCTCTTCAATTTATAGAAGTTTACACTTGTATAAGTGGTCTCCAGCATAGAGTCCATGTCCGAAGAGAAAGTTATACAACTAGGGAATGAAAGAGCTTCTCAAATGGATGAAATGGGGACTCAATGCTTGTGCTTTCAAGAAGCTTCTGTCAAAAAATAAAATTGCACCAAACTTGTCTATCAAATAGATAAGGAAATATTTTCAACAAGTTATTAGCAAGAAAGGGAAAGAAATAATTTGTGCTTTCAACCACATAAGACATGTTTAACTCGGGACTTCCTTTCCCTATGATGATTGAGAAATGAATCTTCTGTTTCAGTCTGCGTCAGCATACAGTTGACAATAAGTTTGTGCTCGAGGAGGATAAACTGGACAACTTCGTGAGTTTCCTCGAAAAAAGTGGTATTGATCTGAATAACTTCAGGTATTAATTTGTATGCCTGCATCTTTCTAATGGTATTCAGGACACCATTTAGACACGAAAGTGTAACAAAACTGATTGAACGCTAAGAGAACTACTTGTAAATCTCTCTTAACCTTGAGAAAGTTTTCAGCATTTGCTGGGATTTCCATTTCAAATGCACACGCCAAAGATTACTCAACATTAGGGAGGTCTTGTCCTCAAGTGAAGAATATCACAGCTATGGTACATTTGGTACAGGTGAATTGGTTGAAGAGAGCGGACTCAAGCCCTGACTGACCTTTACCTGAAGCTTCACACCATGAGATGTAATCAAGAAGAACCAGTTGGAAGAACCATGGAAGTCTGATTGTAAAATATCAGTGGCAGCTTTACATGGGCTTTTTCCGCTAGTATGCATACACCAGGGACTATTATGCATACACCAGGTAAAGTTGTTGCCATGTGACCAGGTGGTCACTGGTTCAAGCTGTGTAAACAGCCTCTTGCAGAAATGCAGGGTAAGGCTGCGTACAATAGACCTTTGTAGTCCGGCCCTTCCCTGCACTCCGCGCATAGCGGGAGCTTAGTGCACCAGGCTGCCCTTTTTATGCATACACCAGGGACTATTATTTCTTAAAAAGAGATGCGACTCAAATTTGAACCCAAGGAGGAGGCAAGCTCATATCAGCTAGGGCATCACTATCTTTGGAATGGTCAACTGGAGTAAGCCGAAGAATGGATGTGTTGCTAACTACAGTCAGAGCTCGGGTTTAAAAATTTATTGACCTCTCAATAGTCAATCAACTACGCCTCAACAGTAAACTAGTTGGGGTCGATTGAATGAATCCTCTTGTATCTACCGAGAGGAGTTATCATGGTTAGACTATCTCTATGCTGCCTGTCAACCTACTGCAATCCTTCTCCACAATTCGGGCTTGAGACCGAGTTTGCTTGAGACATATTGAAGTCATGGAGTTAACATTGTCGACCTCTCACACAGAGATTCCAGCCAAGAACTAATTAAATATTTATTCTACTTAATTGTCACCTGTCAATCATTGGTAGATGAATCTATTCAGATATCTTGTATACTTACTCCTCAAACTGCAATGAGAACATGACCTCAGGCACATATCCTGAATCAAACAATTGGGCCGTCAATCCAGTCAAAACTTGCTGCAGATAGCTTTCCTGAAGGGACATAATATTACATGCAGAGAATGTATATATTTTATTCTGCAACTCAGTCCAACTATATCCAGTCTCCTTCTTTAATGATTTCTCCTTTATCAGCTTTCTCATCTTGGCCGTTTCATCCCACATCTGTAATTCCGCATAGATATTAGACAATACGATATAGGCTGAAGTATCATCTGGATCGATACCTAAAATCTTTTCAGCGGCATATTTCCCCAAGATGAAGTCTCTGTTAGCTTTGCAACCAGACAAGAGGCACCGCCACACCACCTTATCTGGTTCCCCTGGAAAGCTCTTTATAAAACCATAAGCTTCTTTTGTCTGTCCTTTGCGAGCAAATAGACTCACTATACACGCCAAGTGATCTGTCCTTGGAGTGATTCCATACACCTGGGTCATACTATTGAAGTGATGAAGTCCCTCATCTAAAAGTCCAACGTGTCCACAGGCAGATAATACTCCAAGAAATGTGATATCATTAGGTTTAATCCCACTATTTTGCATAGTAGCATAAATCTCTAAAGCTTCTTTCCCAAACCCATGTTGCGCATATCCTACAAGCATGGTGTTCCAAGATACCAAGTTTTTCATAGGAAGGATGTCAAAAACTCTACGAGCGTCTCCAAGTCGTCCACATTTAGCATACATATCAATGAGGGTGCTCCCAACAACCACATTGGAATCAAATCCAGGCTTCAGAACACGACAATGAGATTGCTTGCCCCATTCAATAGCAGGTAAATCCCCACAAATGCTCAAAATGCTAGAGTAGGTGTAAAGACTCGCTTCGAAACCCTCAAGCAACATCTCCTTGAGAAATCTCATAGCATCTTCATACCGACCTGAGCTCACACATCCAGCAATTAGCGTATTCCAGCTAACAACATCATGTTCTTTCATTTCTTGAAAGAGCTTTAATGATTCGTCAAACAGGTCACTCTTGGAGTAAAGGTCCATCAAAGCATTGCATACGAAACTAAATGAGTCGAATCCCAATTTTACAATCCGGCAATGGATCTGTTTCCCAACTCGAACTCCTTTTACATCAGCAAAAGCTCCAAGAACTGAAGAAAAAGTTCTCTCACTTGGTTTCAAGTCTGAGGAAAGCAACTTACAGAAAAGGTCAATGGCCTCTCTTCCACTCCCTAACTGCACACAGCCACCAATCATTGCAGTCCAAGCATGCAATTCCCGTGCATCTGCCTCATCAAAAGCTCGATGTGCCAAGTCTAATACACCACATTTTGCATAAAAATCAATCAAACCAGTCACCAAAAACTGATCCATCCCAAAACCAGACTTGACAATCAGACTATGAATTTGCATCCCAAGTTGCAAAGTTTTCATAGCAGCACAAGCATTCAAAACACTCCCACAGAAAAACTCGTTCACTATCCCCCCTACCCTCAAAGCCAACAAGAAAATCATCAATCCTTCTTGATACTCCCCACAATGGCAATAACAAGAAATGAGAGAAGCCCAAGTAACAGAATTGGGTTCCAAAATGCCATCAAATACCAGTCTTGCTGACTTCAACAACCCACATTTGCCATAAAAATTAACCAAACAATTAGTCACAAAACTATTAAGGCTCTCCTCAGTTCTATACATCCTCCCATGTAACTCCTTCCCTGTTCTTTCAGCTCCTAAACTAGTGCAAGCTGATAAAGCAGCTACATATGTATAACCATTTGGAGCAAACCCATCTTCAAGAACCATTGATCTAAAACAACCCAAAGCTTTTTCCGACATACCCTTTTGAGAATATGTGGAAATCAACGTTGTCCAGGAAATGATGTTTCTTTCAGGCATTCTGTCGAGCAGTTGTTGGGCATCAGCGAACTGATTGAGTTTTAGGTACATGACGAGCAAGTGATTGTTTATGTAAACGTCAGGTTTGGACCCAAATTTGAGTAGCTGTGCATGGACAGCCTTGCCATTGAGCAGGGATTTTGAGTTGGTGCATGCCCGAAGAAGTTGACTAATGGACATGAAAGAAAATATACAGAGTAATAATGACTACAGTGAAAATGTGAAATATAATTTCAAAATTTTAGACTCCTAAATAAAGTTATAATCTGTTTGACCAAACTTTTAAAATCAATTTATTTTGAAAAGTATTTTTCTTAAAAAGTAAAGTACTTTTGGTGATAAATAAAATATTTTTGAGCAGTAATTAGTATTTGGCCAAATTTTTAAAAACTGTTTCTAAATATATTTTTCTCAAAAGTATTTTTCAGAAAAATGATTTCGAAGAAAAACTACTTTTTTCTGCTTCTCAAATACTACTTTTTCTTTTACTTAAAAATATTTTTTTTTCTAAAAACTTGGTCAAACACTCTCAATTTTTGGAAAAAGACACTTTTGATAAAAAAAAAAAAAACACTTTTGATCCAAAAAGAAAATTTGGCCAAACAGACTATTAGGCTATATAATTTCTCTCAAACTTTGGGAATATATAATTTTGCCTAATGATGTCAGAATGTAAGTTATTACTTGACCAGGAGTTTAAATGGTTAGTATTATTTTTATTGTTTTAATGACTTATGGATTAGTATTTTTGTCTTAAGGAAATTGGCTCATCACTTCTTATCATTGAATCGTGTTAGTTAGCCTATTAATTAATGTCTAACTTAATTCTTTTAGATTTTCACTAAAATAAGTTATAACATTTCATGTTAGCCACTTGAAATTTTAAAAATTTTATCAATCATTCACGAGCTAGTGAAAGAGTCTTATAATTTCTTGTGGTACATGCACACAATACATCCCACCTAACAATAATAAAAGTTTAGTGACTTTAAATTAATCACCTTAATTTCAAGAATTAGTATATTTTTTCTCTAACCAAATTGTGGAGCAAATCAGAAGATGCTTAATTATCATGATTGTCTTAATACATATACACCCCTTTCAACTTGCCCATTTCTGGTTTTCACACCCTAAAAAATGAGTTCCTTTTTACACTGTTTATAGTATTTAATTTATTAATTTGTGCAGTTATGTCCTTGTCGTCATCTCCCACTTACAGTAATTGCCAATGAGAAGTTATTTTTGGGTACGTTTTCAGGTACTTTGTAATTATTGAATCCCTTATTATAATCTCAAGGAAGAAAACCCAGCTTAGAAAAGATAGGAGAAAGGGGAGGATATTAGAAAATTTTGTAAGTAGCTCTCTACAATTCCATGTTTATATAGGTTTTAGGTTAACAACTAACTAATGCCTCGCGTATTATTAGGATTTGGACAAGTGAGCAGTTGGTAAAAAACTTTCACCTGCGACCGTTAGATCCTGAGTTCGAGTCATGGTGGAGGGAAAGCGTGAAAACACTATAGATCCTCCTAATTCGGGAGGGGTTAAAAAAAAAGTATTATTAGGATTTTGATAACAAAAAGCTAGTCTCTTAAGAATTTGATAACCAGAATAATCCATAATAAATCTGTATTGGATAGTTTTTACTATTTCAAGATAAGGCAAAATAAAATAATAAAATACTTAAGGGAACTCTTTCTAATTAATGAAGGACATCCTTTTGAGATATTAACTAGTTTCTCCACCAAGAGCTCAGTAAGAGAAAAAATTAAATTCCTATTGGCGTATATAATTGGGATTTCAAATTACTCGTTCTTAACAATTTGTTTGGATGGTTGTTACGTATCGTATTGTATTATATTATATTATATTATACTGTATTATTTTAGTCTATACAATGTTTGAATAAATTATACATTTTCAGTCGTTTCATAATATCATATACGAACAATTTGAAGAATAGGTATACAATAATACAAAGAAAAAGTAAAGTATGAGATAGAGTAAGTATTAAAAGCTAGGATGAAGAGTAAAATAGAATTCTAGTAAGGGCAAGATGAGAAAAGAATAAAGTAACGACGCAATCAGATCAAATCGGTCGTTACGTAAAAGGGGTCTTTTATCGACAACAATAAATTTAACGATATAATACAATAAAAATAAAATAACAATCAAAATAAATATTATATTTAAAATCACAATACGATACACTATAATAAATAACAATCATTGAAACAAAATGGTCATGAACGAGAGTTTGTATGTTATGGTTGAGCACTCTCGAAATAGTGGGAAGAGATGAGTCATTGCTGATGGAGGGAACCTACATACATACTATATAATATAGCTAAATGATGCAATAATTTGCACGTATAATCTACTTTTGGGAGTATTTTTTCTTTCTTCGAAGAATAATATATGTAAGTAGAATCTCCCCTTTTCTTTTAATTAAATCCAAAAAAGCAAAGAATCAAGCTTCCTTCTATTTTCTCTTGCCCTACTTGTTATAAAATAGGTGTTATATGGCCAAATTTTTATGTTATTTGTCATGGCATAATATCCATTATAATAAAATTTATGGATCATGACATTTGTCATGACATAATATCCAATATTATGCCAAGGATTTCTTGCTATAAATAGAGGAGCTTCTGCTCATCTGAAAATACACTAATTCAAGAGCTTTTCACACTTGTCTTTCTTTCTCCTCCTTTATTTCATTATAGAGTATTTTGTAAGAGAGTGAGTGTTGGGAAACACTTTTGTGAACCCTGTCTTTGGAGTGATCTTGTGAGGTTATTCTCTTGGGGTATTTGGGACTAATTAGAGTATTTACACTAATTTTATACTCTCTTTTGTACTCTTGTTGGTATAGTGAAATTGCTCCTCTCCGCTTGTGGACGTAGGTCACCTTGACCGAACCACGTTAAATTTGTGTCTTCTTTATCTTCTTTAATTGACGTTATTATCAACTTGCATTGTCTTTGTTATTGTCACTATAACTTTGTTTGGCTAAATTTTACACTACCCGATAACCCGATCCTAACAAATTGGTATCAGAGCCAGATCTAACCGGGTTAGTTTAAATAGCCAAAATGACTCTAGCAAAGTCTTATGTTGATAAATTTGACCGAAGTGCAAACTTCGGAATGTGGCAATTAAAGATAAAAGCTATCCTAATTCAGGATGGCTTAGATTTGGCACTGCAAGGAAATGAGAAGATGCTGGTTAAAATGACGGACAAGAAGTTTGCCGTCATAGACAAAAAGCAAAAGCAAGTATTATTTTAAATCTTTCAAATGAGGTTTTGCGTGAAGTTGCAGCAGAAAGCTCAGCCAAAGGCATATGGGAAAAACTTAAAACCCTATATATATGAAAAGAACAGTAGAAAACAGGCTTTACCTAAAGTAAAAACTCTACACTTTTCGTATGGCTGAAGGTACCTCTATACTTACACATCTTGATAATTTTGATTCTCTTCTTATGGATTTAAGTAATATAAATGCTGAAATCAAAGATGAGGATCAAGCTGTGTTATTGCTTGTTTTCTTACCCCAGTCGTTTAAATATATAAGAGATACTATACTTTATGGAAAGGATAATATCTCTTATAAAGATATCAAATCTATTTTGAAATCAAAAGAACAAATAGATAGAGATATTACTAGGGAAACTAGTGGGAACCAAGGGGAAGGCTTTGTCATGACCCGAAATTCCCACCTTCGGACTGTGATGGCGCCTAACATTTCACTTGCTAGGCAAGCCAACGTTAGAGTAATATTATCTATTTTTAAAATAATTTTTATATTATTAATAACCAAGAAAACAAAGACGGAAGCAAAGTTTGAAACATGGTGAAATAATTCATAAAAATAACGGTGTCTAAATACCATCCCAGAATTAGTATCACAATTCACGAGCATTCTAGAATAATATAAATAAAGGTCTGAATAAAATAAAGCTGTCTTGAAATACACACACAACTAAAGTAAAATAGACGGGAACTTCAGAACTGCAGACGCCATGCAGTTATACCTCAAGTCTCCTTCGAATAGCTGAAATCCGAGCAAGTCTATGGCACGCCGCTGGGACCAACTCCGAAATCTGCACAAGAAGTGCAGAGTATAGTATCAGTACAACCGACCTCATGTACTGGTAAGTGCTGAGCCTAACCCCGACGAAGTAGTGACGAGGCTAAGACGGTTTATTTACATTAACCTGTACGCAATATTAATAACAACCACAAATAATAGAAATAAATCAGGTAACTCATTTATAATAATTGAAGCCAACCCAGCAGTCATAATCCATTATTATTTCAACCAATTCTGTTGCAGCGTGCAACCCACTCTCACAATATATTCACATTCAATTCTGTTGCAGCGTGCAACCTGCTATCCCAATATTTTCCTTTTAATCAAGTTTGTCATATATTTATTCCAATCAAATGTATATATAGACTTTTAAATAAGTCTGTTGCGGCGTGCAATCCGATCCCCCAATATTGACTTTTCAATAAGTCTATTGCGGCGTGCAATCCGATCTCCCCAATATTGACTTTTAATAAGTCTGTTGCGGCGTGCAAACCCGATCCTCCAATATTAACTTTTTAATAAGTCTGTTGCGGCGTGCAACCCGATCCTCCAATATTAACTTTTAATAAGTCTGTTGCGGCGTGCAACCCGATCCTCCAATATATCCATTTCAATCAATTCTTATAGAAGAAATTTTTCCAATAAATACAATAATTAAAATAAAATTATAAGACAACAAGCATACAATAATTATGATTTAATTATGAAACAAACAATGATAAATAACAAATTATTATAGAAATCAGGGAGAAAATAGACAGTTTAATATTTAATATGCTATATTTCAAATAACAATTAAAACACATAATTCAAATAGCATGTAACAATTAATGCAGGAATTCAAGAATTAATATTTGACAAAGAATTAGAGAGAAATAATTGTTATAATAATTAATTTATGATTAAAAATAATTTATGATTTTTCAAGTAAGCAAGCAAACAATTAATTTGATGACGTATAGATACTCGTCACCTCGCCTATACGTCGTTCACATAAAATTCACATAACAAATAATTTAAGGGTTCTATTCCCTCAAGTCAAGTTTAACCCCTACACTTACCTCGCTTTGTAAATTTTAATCAATTATTCAACCACAACTTTTCCTTTTAAATTTGCTTCCGAAAGCTTCA